CGCCTCGAAAAATATTGGGGTTCCTTTCGGAGATTTCTCTAATACAAACGGGGACCATCAGGTCCGTCTAATGTCGCGTCCCCAAATATATTTTCGTTAGTGGTAGCCCACTACATTTATAAAATTATTTTTATTAATAAATAATGCAATTTCACATATTTTCATATTACTTTCGCGATAAGCAAACAGTAACAATCAGTTTTCTGCATTTTATGTTTTTTAGGTTAAACGTAATTCAACTGTTTCTGGGGAAACCTCGGTCGCCATTGCGATCTCTGAATGAGGATTTAGGTACAGTCAGAAGGACACTGAAATGCCCGTTGTTTCGAGCAATTACTTTACATCAGAAACGTCGTATGTGTAGCCACGTAATTGATACTGAAAAATTAACTGCTACAGATTAGATAAAGTACTGGAAAACATCGTCGTTTGTCACCGCTGCGCAAATACGCTAATCGCGAAAGATCATAACTTCCAATCCGCTATTTTGAGCGAAATCGCGACGATAAGCACAACGAGCTCCTTTTCTGGAAGGAGCATACGATTCGTCGTTTTGAAGTGCAACGAAAGTGAACGGAGAAATTGTTTCAAGCAACTTGTTTGCGTTAGAAGATTATCGAAACGAGAGTATCGATAAGTAAACAGCCGATAAGCGTAACGTAAAGTACATTCAGTCCGTGAAAGAATGAATGAACGTGTTCGAAGAAAGGTAAGATCTTCTGAACGATAGTTGCGAAGGTTAAGCTTGTTGCAACTTAATTTTAAAAGCTTAAGCTGGTCGAAGATAATGGGATTGCTGAGACGGTATTTACTTTTATCGGGAAATTTTATATAGCCGCTCAGTGTTATTAGAAAAATAATATCTATGACTAATACAGTATCGTGTAACTTATCATTCTTAACTAACGAGTCATTCGAACGAAAATTCGGATCCTAACAACAATATTTCGAATTACTTTTCATTTTTAAGCCGATCTAAACGAGATTTATCGTGCCAAAATTCTTTTAACACACACTTTGCATTTATACTTGAAAAAATTTTCATAGCTTGACGAGATACTGGTAAATTGGTATTGAATATTTCTAAGTGTTTTGTTATCCACTTCTCGCGATAAAACTGTATTCGAGCCGCCTACATATACATTAAATAATGACTGTGTTTCAACGAAAAGCGCCATACGCGATCTTGCAACTACGTTTTCCGTAAACTCAACTTTCGTTGTAATTAGTTCTACCTGCCAAGTTCTTGGTTTTATTAACCCCTTGCCATAACAAGTCTGACACGTCACAAGTTCTTGATGTCAAGTTTCACAATTATGAGGCTACTCACTCGTCATCGAGTCTTATAAATTAAAATCAACACATTTGTCAAGGGGTTAACAGAGCATTAAAATTTTCTAATAATTTATTTGCTCTAAACCTGCTGTACGTTTCCTTAGTTGGTGTATCATAATACTTTCTGTCATCTGGTTTCCGTATCGTAATTATCTCTTTAACCTAACAGAGGCTCTCCAAACACCGTCTTCTGAGACTATTGTGATTCAAAAATTCAGAATGAACTGCAGTTACCGAGCTTCTGTTTGCATTTAAAATCATGAATGGAATTAATGTTTGTCCTGAGTAGTCAACGTTATTCTATCTGATCGAATATTTTCACAACAAGAAGTTATTCACTAATGTTAATAAGTTTTGCTAATCTCCGTAGCTCCAAACGTCAAACTGACAGTTCATTGTAATTCCTACGTTAAGTGTTCAATCCAGGTTTTTCTTTTCTCGTTACGCCAAGTTATCCCGCGTCTAAATAAATAAATACAATCTCGAATGTCAGCCAGGTGTGGACACCGTGAACGCGTTACAGGAGTTTCGAAACGCAACGTCCATACGACACGGTGCTAATTAACCGTGTTACAGAAGGATTGAGTTTACCGGTGTAGGTGGTATCGAGTTTCCAAAAATGTTGCTACGGCTAACGACTCGTATCAGCGGGTAACGCGAAGGACGGGCACGAAATTCCGTCGTCGATGCCAGTCGAAGCGAGACTTTCACGGTGAAATTTCCCCGGGTGTCGTCAACCCTGACATTACGATCGTGGACGGTGTCAGGGCTACGATCCCTCGAAGGTGTTGGAAAAAGGAACGAGAAGCTAGCAGGCCGCACTTAGCCCGTTTGCATGTTCCTCGGAGTGGATAACCGCGTAAAAGTATCCCGTTACCACGGTAGCCCAGATACCAGATTACGGGGCACGAATTGTCAATCGAACCGGAGGTTGCGAGTTTCCGTCGACCGCGGCGCGAAAAAAAAACCGACCGCACAGGCAAGGAACCGCAGGAATTTCGCGACACGCTTTTTTATTCGCCGCTTCGCGCGTTTCATTCATCCGCGATATCTTTAACGCCGTTCGTTTTCACAGTTCCGTATCTGGCCTGACGCTAGTGGAAATCTCGGAGCAAAAGGCCATAAATCTGAGTTCACCCCGACACCTAAAGTATTGCAAGAAACAGTACATACATGCATGCGTGTACGGGGCGAGCGTGGACGTTCGAAGACGAGCGACAATAGTCACAAAAACAAATGATGAGCGAGAAAAACAAAAGAGGAATGGGAGAATGTGAAAGTGTTGAGAATAAGCATTACGTACATGTACTTTTAATGAAAATTTGTATCCATTAGAGCAGTCCCCTCCCTTGCAAAGGTCAGTAGCGTCAGGAGCGTCTCGTTTCGTTTTAACCCTTTATTTAATTTTCGAAACGTTTGAATCTTATCCCGATTTAACAATAGAATTTATTGATATCTAAACTACTCAGCTGATGGATGCCAATTTCGACGAGTCGATGGTCACCTTGGCGACGTAGGAGTCACTTAATTCCGTTTCGTTGACACTACACCCACATTTATTTATACAGAGCTTAAATAGAACATCAACGTCCTCGTCACAATCTACGTCACGGTCGAGCACCTAATGCGCGTTATCGTAATCAATTACACGACCGCAGACCCCGCTGATATTGCACGGTTATTCACTTTAGGACGAACCGGAGTAAATCATGTGTCGATAAGTGGCTCTGATCAATGAACACCCTCGTTTCCTTTCGCGATCGGTCGTTCCGACTATCGATTTACCCGAAGGATCGAGCAGCGTTTCAGGGAACGTTTCAACGTTCACTTTCGTCGAGAACTGCGCCTCGAGTTACAACCTGATAAGACTAATGTTGTAACAATGCGATCAAATGAATTACAACATCAATAATATTACAAATATCGGGCCGAGAAAGTCGATGAATAGCGTTTTACCGCTTTCAAATTTCCCTGAATGAAAATTTTACATTCTCACACTCTAACAGACACTCGACTCCAAAATAAATTTTAATTCGACGGAGTCTTTCGTCCAGTTTTTTTAGCAACCATGGAACACGATAAGATAGATCATTTCATGTCGAAGTGCAGAATCGTAACAGTACGAATCATAAGCATCGATAACATCCATCGACTCGAGGAAGCCAATAAATGGTGTGTTGACGTTTTCCAATAGACACACGACACCAAAATAAATTTGAATCCGACGAAGTCCTTCGTCGAGCTCCACAGTAACTACTCAGATTAAGTTACATAATTTTAGTCGATAGTTAGAGCGATAATAGTAGAGCGTGGGGGTTTGTTGAACAACCTGTTCGTATTGAAATGCAGACTTGCACCGTCACAACGACTGTCGTTGCAAATCGACTGTGACTCATCGTACGATAAATCGGTGCGTCTATTGCACTAGCAATCATTCATCTTCCGTGTACGATGTTCACGGTGAATTCGAGCAAAGTTTCGAAAATTAATCACAAATGCAACGATTTAGTTTACGGTCAATTAGCAGACTTTGCAAATAATCCCACACGCTTTATACGTAGTTATCGTTATAATAATCGCGTCAATGATCGCTGCGCGTAATATCGTACGAAATATAGTGGCTTCTAATCATTCAAATCAAACACATTGACTGTCCGTACTTCGAAACGATCAGATTTTCATAGAAATAAATATTTTACTATTTTCGTCTATGCGCCATTGTCTTTGTGATACAGCTGCCTATTTTAGTGACCAAAAATCTATCTGCACAGAAGATAGAGATAAATAGTGAAGTTTTCTTCTAATTCATAATTAATAAATTTGAGAAATATTTAATTTTTAGTATGACACATAATTATATTCTTTAATTGAAAGTAAGGAAAGGTTTTAGTAATTATAAACAAAAAAAAATTACGAAACTAATACTATTCGTTCCTCATGAATGATATAGAAACAAAGTACATGTAACGTTAATTTTGTGTTAATTGCTTGTCGTTACATTGTCGATAAAAGATTAACAAACGAAAGAAGAAGCCTTCTGATCGACATTTTTTACATTCGATTATACAAATATCTTAAGGACGTCAATAAGATTGTGAAATTTTTGTTACCTCGGGTTAAAAGTTAAAGAAACAGAATATAAACGGTAAAAAATATATCGAGAATAACACAGGAAAAACAAGTACTAAGCAAATTGAGAATAATAAAAATGTAAATTAGGATTTAAAACTCCTGAGACAAGACCATCCTAACCACGTGGTTCACTAGTTATCTAACCCATTGACGTACAATTTAATTACAACCTATTTTCAAATGCATAATATTTAATTTTATTCAAACTTGTTCGTACAAGCAGAGCTTGGAAAAACAAAACAGATTTCTTAAACATACGAAGCTTCGCGACGAGTCGTCATTTTGAAACCTAGCAGAAAGAACTGTTTCTAACCCCCCATTTAAATTCCCAATGTCTCGCGATATATGTCACATTCTAGGAAACTGTCGATTGGACAAGGTCTTCTAGCTAAAAATTCATCAGGTTCGCGAAGAGATCTTCTTCCTGTTTATCGCGGAGGAAATCCTCGTCCAGCAATTAAACGCTGGACGAACGCGTCGGGGTACGATAAGATAGACGCCAGTGAGCAGAGGCCGGACGAAACGGGACTCACCTCGTATTTTCGTCTCCTGCGGGTCCAACGGTGGAAAGCGTGGGTGGCCCTGCTGTCCTGGTTTCTTCAACAGGACACCCACGACCTGCGGCGCCATCATCATCCCGACGTCTCTAGCTGCACACCCCCGGTCGAATCAGTTCCAGCTGGTCATCGTTTTCCGATCAACTCCCTTTACACAGACGCACATAGAGACGAACTGTCGTTTCGGGTACGAAGCTACCTCGAGATCACTTTTGCCCCGACGCGCGGACCGCCTACTTGGGCCTGAAATTAAACCAAAGAGAGCAACGAACGGGGCGCTCGGGGTGAGCAGCTGCCGATTCCGTTCGGTTTAGAGACCGTCTGTCGTTTTATTGGCCAAGGCGACGTGTCACTTTAACGAAGACGCAAGGCGCCAGACGAGAGGCCCCTTTCCACTCTCTGTTTAATCGTTATCGCGCACTGTTGCCTCCTAGCACGCGCGAGCGTGACCTTATCGGGCGACGAAACTGTTCGAGCAGCTATCGCAGCCACCTATTAGCCCGGACCGAGCAATTATCGTTAGTTCGATCCCCGATGCGATCGTTACTCTCCTCCACCCTTTCGTACGACGACCTTCCGTTCAAGCAGGGTCGCCGATAACGGCTCGATCGTATCACCTGTTGACACGCGGTCACTGCCGTTTGTTGTCGTACCCGCGGAGCCTCGTTCGACGACAATGGCCGGTTGTTGCAACACAAGTTGCAATTACTGCGGTTAGATAACGTTATCGACCGGCTTTTGCCTTCGATGGGCGGCTAACGAGCCGACCTCGAGTGTCTTGGAGTAGCTCGACCCGCGCCCGTCGGTTCGGGGATGTTCGATTTTCACCACGACCTTCGTCACGGAACGGTCTTGCGTTTCGTTCAATGTCGATGTCTCTTGGAAAAACGCTGACAGATTTCCGCTCGCGAGAGGTTAGAGGAACTGTTGCCTCGGATGATGTTCACCAACACGGTCACTGAACGGACGAACAAGTTCCACGTCGTTGGAAAACTGTCACGAATCTAGTGCACGGAACTGGACACTCGAGTCTGAACTTCGTCGTAAAAATTTGTCAAGTCCCCCCCAAACCCCCCGGCAGAAAAACCTTGTAACCGATCGTCGCGAGCCGGTAAGCCGGTTAATTAACGCGTCCAGAGAATACGAACGGCTGTTCGCAATTGACACGAAGGGGAACGATCATCACTGATCCAGCATGGCGCGCGCACGGCGAACGACTAAACCGACGCTAGAGTGCATCGTGCTTCGTGTTCGCTGCCTAGCTTCCCCCACCATCGTCCACGGTTTCTCTTTCTCTCCACCGCTCGCCAACCCTCCGTTGTCTTTTCATCCTGTCGCGCTGTGACATTTTTGCGATCTAGGTGAATTCAGACGTTTCGCTCGTAATGTTATTATTTACAGTGAGTGTAGAAAGTATTCGTACAGTGACTAATAAGTTCACCACATGTTTTGGCATTTTATATCATTTATATCATTTCACAAAAATACATGTCAAATAATACTTTATATTTATTATGTCTGTTTAGGAAAATGCTGTTTTCTAGTTGGATAAAAGTATAAATTCATCAATAGAAAATAATTTATTTAATTGGAAGATTCCTAGTTCCATATTATTAATAAGGTTTTTTATTAAATTTTGATCATTTTTTTCCCATGCATTTGTAATTATTATTTTCAAGTGATGAATCGATGAGTATTTTGTATTATTCTTATAAACGTGAGAAACAATTATTCCCCAAATATTCTTAATGGGATTGGGATAACAATGGTATATTGTGGTCCTGAAACAGGGTATTATCTTGCTAAAATGTAAATTTACTCGAACAATTTTCTTGTAAGTAAGTAAATGTGATTCTAACATTTCTTGATATTGGCAAATATTCATTTTTGTTGAAAGTAATACGAAGCTTTCCAGAAGCACTGGATTGACAGTAATGAAAGCTCTAACAAAACTAAAATCTTTGATTGAAAAAATGATCCAAAAAATGTAATTTAAACAGAAGCCACGAATCAAAATCAATTTGAATAGTTAGGTGCTCGAATTACATTCATCGATGAAGTGTTCGAGAACAGAAAAGTTCAACGAGAAGTCTCAACCCTATTATGCACCCTTTGGCGGTGGCTCGAAAATTCGATGACGTTGTTATTAACGTAGATGTGTACGTGAAATGTTTCTTAAAGTCGACCACGATGCACCCTACATTTTCACGCCGTTGCTCCCATAATTCACCCTTTCTGGGACCCCTTGTTTAATCATATTTACAGGTGTCCCTCGCCGTTTCCATTCGATTTAACGCGAATCGGTTTCTAGTTTTCGAGTAACTGACACCGATGCATGCGACTATATCATTCCTCGTATCAGATAAATCAATTTTTCTCGATGAACTCCATTAACTCTACACAGCCTAACAAACAGAGAAGGGAGGATTTTATCAAGCCCTCTAGTCGGAAAATCTTAAAAGTATTGTCATTATTATCAACCGTTGTCATTCTTCTTATTATTGCCACTTTTTTTCGATTTCTTTATAGTTTTCTATTTTCTCCTTTATTGTAATAATTGTCTTCATCCCCCGTTTCTCTGTACCACTATAGGTTAGGCTTAATAGCTATAGCATGAGATGGCTACTAATGTGTATATTATAGATTGAAATATGTTGAGTTTAACATTTTTCTGAAATCTACAATTATAAGAAATTGAGTTGTACAATGCAAAAACGGAAAATGTTAAAGAAAAATAATGCAATGGGAATATTTATGAGAAAATATAAAGTTGCTACATTTTATGGAAAAATAAATTTTCGTTTACTGAGAAATAACAATAACATTACTTCAATTATCATTATATGGACTAGGCCATCCTATGTAAAGGGTGAGTCATGTAATTGGGACGAATTATATCTCGTATGATAGTGTTCTTTTTTCTGCGACTTTATCTTTTCATATAAAAGTATTTATAAACTTGCTGTGCTTTTAATATTAAGTTTTATGCATATTTTGCCCCATTTTCATAACTATCACTATTATTATTGACAAGAGGGCCGTGTATTACAAAATACATAATACCAGGTAAACAAAATAGCAAAAATACAAAGTAAAGTAAATGAAATAGATGTATTAAGAAATATACTATACATAACATGAGAATATAAAATAGCAAAACCACTAGCGTCGATATAACTATTAATAAGTATATTTACATGATTAATACAATTAAATTTACTGCACACCGTGTGATTCAGTTGTATGAACAAGATATGGAGCATCACTTTCCGTTTCTTGGGGTTCATTAAGCCTAAACGAGGCACCATGAGTTTGTAATTATGATACGACGTTGAAGTAGAACATTCCACACGAAAAGCAATAAGACGAAGGAATTTGTGTTATACTTTCTCAATAAGAAGATTATGGTTGTTAATATAAGGTAACCAGACTAATGAGCAATATTTCAAACGAGGACGCATCGAAGAAGAACATAATTCTTGACGTGGTCGTGTCCTTAAAATATTGTTTTATTCTAAAAGTAAGGCCTAGATTTGCAATATTGCAATAACGTTCAGCGAAAGACAGGCTAACTAAAAATTAGATAATCAAGTCTCGAGTGCAGTCAATAATTAAACAAAAAAAATAGTACTTAAACAAATTAAATGTTTCACATTGCAACTATTCTTTCTGTTGCATGAAATTGTTTCATATTAAGGACGAATTTTTAAATTTCATTGCATTGAACGTATGTTTCTAAATTATTAGATTTAATAAAGATTTGATGAAAGGAACCAAAAACAAATAATTTAATAATTCGACTTTTAATTTGAGACAAAGATGGATTGTACAAATTGTTCTAAGTCATGAAAATATGGATCGACCTAAGTATGTACTTAATTAATGTAGTTTTACAAAACGAAAATGCTGTTTCTAGTTTGATGGTATTCTACTAATTGAGCTTGAGACTCGGGGGAAAAACGAGATGCTCAGGGGGTGCAATAAACGAGTGTCCTCCTCAGATATTACTGACCTTTGCAAGGGAGGGCCAATGCCAACTGCACCAATGGATACAAATTTTCATTCGAAATACATGCATGCAATAATAGGGATTAACCAAACAGAATCTAGCTTGAAGAAAAACAGAGATTATAGGAAGCTTGTTATAGTTGGGGGATTAAAATCGAATCCTTCCACATCGATTGATGGAGCAACCTTACGGGAAACGGCGGGTGGACTGCGAGAACTCGATCGACGCTTGACGTCAAACCGTCTCAAGACCACCGTCTGCGAGTGCCGCGTGAAAAATGAAAAATACGGTGACACACTTTCACTCTCGACTCGCGGAGAACCTCCAACATAGGCGGCCGTTATTGAAATTCCCTCTAATTGCGCGCAAAGCGATACAGAACGGTGGTTATCGGCCGGATAGCTGAAAACTGGCTGACTCAGACCTTCCACCGCTGCATTTCCCACGGACGCGTTGCTATGTTCTCTGTTCCGTGCTCCGCATATGGTGCACCCACGCCATCCGTGTTACGTTCTCATGTGCCACATGTGGTGCACAGGTAGAGGAAGTGCATCATATTCGAAACACTAGCAAAAGCAACTCGGAATACAGAAATATTTAAAAATATGACTGCTATCTGTGTTTCAAATTAACCAATCAACTCAACCAATGAAATTTACAGAAGAATAATAGTAACATTTTGCATAATGTTAACATTTTCGAGTCGATCCTCGATGTAAAAAAATGTCAATTTATAAAAGTTTTTCAGCGAGTATTCAATTAAAATATTGAAAACTTTAAATGAAATCATTTGGTCTACTCATTTGTATATTAATTTTATGCTTTCGCGTCAATTTTTCCGATCATTTCGAAAACACTAAATTATTAAATTGTTTATTTTGACCTGCAATGTTAACTTCAATTTATAATACCAGCTTATAATATTAATCTAGACGAATGAAGTAAAAATCATCCAAACGAAAATTGTTTTGTGATTATCATGTTTCTGCAGGCGTCGAACGAAACTGTTAACATTTTTAATTAGTTCTGATATAACAGTAATTTTTCTGTTTTGTAAAAATAGTTATAAAACGAGGCGTATTCGCAGAAACTTTTATCCCGAGTCATATTTGTATAAACACAGGATACTTTTTCGGAATTGGAAAGAAGCTATAGTTGAACAACAACAGTTATTCTGTTTCGAAAGAAAATTGTTTCCATTCAATTCTAGATTGTGACCAACACCTCGACGAATAAATTTAATTAATCGACGATTCAACCAGGCACCGACGCTCGAATCGTTCGTTCGACGAACAAATATCGATTCGTCGACGGTTGTCCGTGCGATCGAGCACAACGGAGATAATTGGACAATGCATCGATCCATATCGAAGTTGCATTGTACCGACAATGGTGCAACGCGTTGGAAAGCCCTCCAGTGTCGTCTGCGATTCGATATCAGTATTCCCAGCGCATTCGCGAACAAAAGAGTCACCGTTGGCAGGTCTCGGTCGACCAGTTGCCGCGCGCGGTGGATCGACGGCAATAATGTCGTTTAAAAAGGGAGAAAAAAATATATATTTTTATCTCCCGCGCTATGCCTTGGGGTGAGAAAAATGCGACTGGGACGACTTTGCGAACCAAGACGCGAACGGAGGAGAAGAAAGGGAAAAGAGTCGATGCCAAAAATATCCAACGCGTGGAACAGCGTGCTGCTCCGATTCCTGCTCTAACAAAACGAAGGCTTTTCGGCCTGAAATAAAATTTCCTCTCGAAGCCTCCCGCTGCAACATTCCCAGCCGAGAATCGTCGAATAAAGTAGCTCCGCTGAGTCTGACTCAAACGTGATCCAGACAGACTCGGTTTTATCCGACATTTTTTAGAAGGGGAGACCGTGGCTAGAAGTTCCGGGGATAAGTTGTAAGAACACTATGATTTTCTACAAAATATTCCTCTACTTTATAAATATCTGGTACTGGTATGATACACAGTTAAAATAGACAAAAATTAGGAGAAAATTTTTTGTTTTTTTTTTCAGTTACACTACGTGCCGCAGAGCGCCACAAATTCAACACGCCTCGCGAGAATGGCCCAGCGTCGTAATTTTGCACTATTTTTGAATAACTATTTCTTAACACTTAACGACATGGTTAATAATATCCTTGAATATTATTATCTTCTGAGAAAAAAAATCGGAAGAAAACACTTT